GCCCTTTGTGGGGCCCAGACTGTTAATTACGGCTGGCCACGCCTGATTAGCAGGACAAGGTGCGCGCCGTGCAGGACGCCGGGACGTGTGCATGCCGTGCATGCAGGGCGGAATCAACACCGCCTCAGAAACAGTAGCCCACTGCGTGTGTGCGTGCGTGTCCGCCTGCCTGTCCGTCTGACTGTGCGTCGCCTGAACCTCATCCCTCCTCGACGGCCGTCCCGTCTCGGTCTCGTCCCCACGCAGACTGATTCCGAGAGCCCTTTTCGTTGCTCTGTCTCTCTCGCACTCATGGGGCGTTCCGTATAGGTGCGAGAGAGACAGAGCGACGAAAACGACTCTCGGAATCAGTCTGCTGGCAGAGGATGACGGACAAACGAGCCCCCAAAATCTGGGCCCGAACTCCATCGGCGTCGATCGACATACTACCGCCATCCCCACAGCCACCGGCACACGGCCGGAACGAATGCTTCGCCCTTTCTTCGTAGGCGCTCGGAAGGGGTGGGGTCATACGTTCGGTTCGAGTCCTGTTAAGCGACTCTGGACCTCAAAACGCGTCTAGAATTTTGGCCGCCTCCACCGGTCTTTTTGCCCACTGTGAGTGCTCAGCGGGGACTAGGGTGGGCGGGGTCGGTCGTGGCGAGGCGGGGTGGGCGAGGCGGGGTGGGGTGAGGCGGGGTGGGGTGAGGCGGGGTGGGGTGAGGCGGGGTGGGGCGAGGCGGGGTGGGGTGAGGCGAGGTACTCAATAGAATCCATATCGCGAGGAGTAGCGCCACACGTGTTTCCCCGAGGCTTGTAATCACCGCCTTCCGCTCGGCCAGCTTCGCTTCCTCGCCCATCCATCCGCCCCACGCCGCCCCTCTCTGCGCCTGCACTGGCAATGACACAACACTTCACTCATTGATCTGCTGCTGTTGTTGTTTTTGTTGTTGTCGACACCTCGCAGCCGTCGCTGCAATGCGCTGCAGGTTCACCTTGTGGGAGCTTTTGCCGTTAGGCTTGTGCATACCACCAGTACCAACACCAGCAGCACCGGCAGCACGGCGTCGTGGGTAAAGATTCACAAAAGGGAACTCAGAAGTCAGAAGTTTGCGGAGCGGCGTCCCCAGCTTTACACAATCGAGGACGAAATCGTCCCTCGAATCGGAGTAGAGTCGAATCGGCGTCGATTCGACCAATGATCTGTCTAGGCTGGTGTCGAGTGTTGTACGAGGTGTTGTGGCCAGAACGATTTCTGTCGGTTCGTTGGGCACGCGAAACGAAGGGTTCCTAACCAGCCGCAACGAGGGCCTGAGGCCGGAGGGCCGCCGAGACATGACTCCACACAAAGCGCTGAGACTGAGCGACCCCGTCTCGACCCCGCCGCAAGCAGCCGCAGGCCGCACTCGAGTCCTTACAGTGAGTCAGCACGGCCTGCGCTTTTTGTTCGGGCCGATTCCCTTCCCGCCCTTTCCTCCTCAAAATCAGTTTCCGCCTGTCGGGGTGCTCTGCCGCTCTGCCGCTCTGCCCCGCTCGGTCCGGATCGCTCACATCCGACGGCGATCCGGCAGCCGCCGGACAGAGGGAAGGAAGGCAGCCTGATTGCGAGAGTCGTTTTCGTCGCTCTGTCTCTATCTCGTCTACAAGGGACGCCCCATGAGTGCGAGAGGGACAGAGCGATGAGACTGACCCTCGAAATCGGTTGGCGGGCAGCCCCGCCGAGCATGCCCAGTGAGCGTGCTTGCATACCCACCAAGGGGTTGGACCCTTGAACTTTAACTTGAGCGGCTAGACCATATGATCTTCTCGCATCCCTCTGACAGGGGACTTCGATTTGCTCGCGGTCGAGGCGAGTGGCGGCGAGGCGAGCACGCCGCCGTCACGTCAGACTCCATGGAGACGACGCCACCGCACTGGGCCGAGTGGGCCTCACCGAAAATGAAATTTGACACGCGCTGAGTGACGGGCAGACGGGCCGGCGGGGCCGGCCGGCGGTCTCTAGCCGCAGACGGCGCGCGGCGATTCGTGGTATTTCTCGGTCGGCGTCGCAGACGTCCCAGCCAGTAAGGACGGCGCCGCGAAGGACGCTGGAGGAAGGACGCAGGAAGAAGGACGCAGGACGCAGGATGAAGGACGCAGGACACGAAGGACGCAGGATGAAGGACAAAGCACGCAGGACGCAGGACGAAGGACGCAGGACGCAGGACGAAGGACGCAGGACGCAGGACGAAGGACGCAGGACGAAGGACGAAGGACGAAGGACGAAGGACGAAGGACGAAGGACGAGGCGCGTGAGGCACGGAGGGCGGACGCAGGCCAGCGCGCAATTAATGCCTGAAATGAGAGTACTAACAGCAGCGCCAAGCATGCAGGCCGTGCAGGCCGTGCAGGCCGCGCCGACACGTCGCCGCACCCAGAGCACCCAGTATGGACCAGTGCTTGAGCCTGGCGGTAGCGGCCATTATGAAAATCGGCAGCAAGCTGCAGCAGGCTCGGTAGGAAGCCCATTTCAGCACGCTTGTTAAAACGGCGGCGTTCGAAGCCCTGGCCGCGCTGCCGACACACGGCGCTCGCAGCGTCCTTCCCCGTCTCCCTCGCACCCCTCGGGGTGGCCCTCGAGTGCGAGGGAGACGGGGACGGGCTGCGGGGCGCCTCGCGGTGCCTCGCGGTGGACAGCGCTAGCACGGCGGCGCGGCGGCGCGGCACGGGGCGCGTCCACGGCGTCACGGCAGCGGCCGGACCAGCAGGCCGCAGCCGCGCAGCCCTGCCGATAATCAACGGCCACTTTCGGCGTCATTATCTTAATTTGGAATATAATGTGACCGGTTGAGCATGCATCCGCCACGGCGCGCCGTCCAGCCTCCACCGCACGCAGCGCGTCGTGGTGCAGCGCGGAGCAGCGCGGAGCAGCGGACCGTTTTGGCGTCTTTTCAAAATAAAGTAACGCTCCGCGCCCCGCCGAGCTATTACAGCGCTTTCGTCGCCCTGTCTCTCTCGCACTCGTGGGGTACTTCCGTCGGGGCGCGAGAGAGACAGACGAGCGACGCAGCACTGTTAGTTCCGCGAAATCGCTCTGTTGGCCGGCGGTGTCTATCCCATCCTGCGAATTGAGGCCGACAGAGAAAAGCCGGTCTCAAACCACCAAAAATACAAAACTTGAATTTGATTTTTGATTTTATTTTTCTGCTCGGGAGGGGAAGAAGTGTAACACGCGACTGCATACATTTTACGGTCGGCGCGCGGATGTGCGTTTATCCCGCTTTCTCTATTTCGCATTTATAGAGTAATAAGTAGCGTGCACTTGTCCCCCGTGAGCTGCTGGGTGCGGACTGGCAGGCCGGGACGGCCTGGACGGCCTGGACGAGACTGCTGTTAACTTTCATGACGAGCGCGGCCTGTGGCGGGGCGGGGCGGGGCGGGGCGGGGCGGGGCGCAACGGCCGCGCGCCATGCGACGCGCCCCGCGCCCCTCCGTGCCGCCGTGGTTGTTGATGTCGGTGGCGGTGGCAATGGCCGACCGTCTGCACTTTGGCTTTGGTGGTTCCTGTCGCCATCCTCGTCGTCGCGGTGCTCGGCCGCTAACGAGGCGGTCGGCACCTCGCCGCCGCGACCCAGGCAGAGCCGCGCAGTGCCAGGCCGAGCCAGGCACGGCCAGCATTTGCGAACGTCGCCCCGTCTCCCCGCATTCCGCCATAGACACATAAAGAGGTGGAAAATATCAATGCGCATTGCGCGCGGCTGCGCGCTCACTCCGAACCGAGCCGCGTCGCTGCGTCTCTCTCGCACTCGCGGCGCGCGCCGCACGGGTGCGAGAGAGACAGCGACACTGTTGGGAGCGAGACTGGCCGCCCGGCCGGATAACGATACAGTGAGGCCCATTCCAGAGGCACTCCGGTGGCACTCCGCGCCGCGCGGAACTCCGGAGGCAGTATGCCGCAGTATGCGCGCTCGCGGCTTGGGTTCGCGTCCCGGCCGCGCCGCGCCGTTTCTTGGCGAGCCCGTCGCCATGGTCAGGGTCTCGGCCTGTCGCGGCCCAACGCGGCGAACGGTCGGCGGCGCTTGGCTCGCGCTCAAATTCGAGCAGGCCGCGAGCTCGTTCTCGTTAGCCCGGCCAGCGCGAGCCAGCGCGAGCCAGCGCGAGCAGGCACTGCTTGCCGGGGCCCGGGGCCCGGGGGGTTTCGCGGGGGTTGGCGACTTGGCCGCGGCCACCGCCACCACCAGCGTCATCGCGGTGCTCTCGCTCGCACGCCGGGCCGTCCGGCGGGGCCGTGCCGGGGCCGCGTCGCCCATCCCGGTGGGGCGGTGGGGCCCCGGGCGACACGGCGCCCGTATTTCATCCGACGGGCAGCGCGGCCAGAGGCCCTCGGCCAGCCGCACGGCCGCACCAGCAGGCCGATACCATTAGGCGCTGCTTTCGCACCGTTTATGCATATTACGAGCGGACAGGACGCTGGCCGGACTGGCGGCGGCGCGGTCGCATGCCATCCGCGTGTTTTGCGCTCGAGCACGACGAGCTGCTCGACGAGCTGCCCGGTCACCGCCGGCCTCCACTCTTCACGGCTTCAAAACGCGGGCTTATTATTTTTAGACGGGTTTTGGCACCGCGGCGTCGTCCGTCTGTGTGATTTTCGGGGCGACAGCTCGCGGTGTTTCAGCCGCGTCGCGTGTGTACCGGTTCCAGTAGTGTTTGGCCACCTGTCCCTCGCCGCCCCGCCGCTCGCAGCCACCAGGCTCCAGGTACTGCATATAACGCGTGAAACCTGTTGCGTGCCGCGGCCGCGCCGTGGCGGACGTCAAATGGTGTCCCGGACACAACTAACTGAACTGGTTGGCTCTAGATATACTTTCAGAACGAGGGGCTAATCTGTTTTGCTCTCAACAGCCTCGGCCCGTGTTCAACTACACGGCACGGGGATACCAATGTGCACCCACCTCCTTTTCATTTGGGTCCGCGTGTCCAGGTGTGCGATGCAGTGTGAGGGACGAGCTTTCTGGGTGCAAGGACAACGACAGCGGTTTCGAGATTACATCAACATTTATTTTACAATTCATGTATGTACAGTAATATATATCTGTAGAAGATTCAATATATTTACTTTACTTAGGCTGTGACTAGAGGGTTACAGTTGTTGAGATTCTGGAAGTAGTAGAGAGAGAGCCATCCGTGACAAAGTGCTGGCCGCCCTTGCCAAGAATGCGCGCGCTCCGCGCACACGCCGCGGGGACGCGTAAATGTTTCAGTTCCGACTCATTTTCGGACGGCCGAATCGGTACATTAGTTTCTGAGATCATATTTCACTCGTTACAGCGAGCCTGCCGGCCGGTCCACTCATTTTACATGTTTTCCTACTTAATTTGTTATGTGAGGGTTTTGATTTAGGGCCTCGCGGCCACCGGGCCTCACTGGCCTCACGGCGAGCTACCTGTAGCGGCGCCCCGCGGACTGGGACCGCGTCGACCGCGTCCACTGCGACCCCGCCGCGCCCGGACTGGCGTTCGGAACACGCGAGCGAACGCACAAATTCGGCCAGCAATTTGTCACTGTGTTTTTACATGACGAACAAGGGGCGTTTTCGTAACACACTTTTGCCGGCGCTTGACCTCTCTGCTAGGGTCCTTCGCACTCCCCACAATAAAAAAATAGACGCTATACAATGAACAAACAACATATTGCTTTCGAAAGCACAGACCCTGGTATCTTCGGCATACAAAAATATATAATAAAGTCGAATACACACATGGAAATAAATAGAGGTGGAAGAAATTTGTGCGGGTAAGTCAGAGGCGTGATTTTGGTGCTGAACTGTACAAAAGAGACCTAACGTCGCTAAAGCTACAATCGCGTCCTTACTGTACATCAGTGCGACAGGGGAGGTCTGGCGAAAGAAATTAAACAAGAAATGAACACAATATCGTAGCAAGGCCCAGCTCCCCTAGAGTTAATGCCTTTGTACACGGAGGCGCAGCTTGGCGCAGCGCGCTTTACACAATCTTGAGCAAACGTGACGAGAAGCAGCCGGGGCAGCCCTGGGCCCGTCGCCCTGGGCCCTCGTCGCCCTGGGCCCTCGTCGCCCTGGGCCCTCGGCCGTGGCGGGCCTCTGCGGCTCGGCCCAGGACCCCCTCCAGGAATCCAGCGCAGCTTGAGGCCTTTTCGGGAACGGCCATTTTTTTCTGCGGACCGCCAAGACCTCTGCATGGCGCGGGATCACATAGACATTCCAGCGAATCTGCTGGTCTCCGTCCTCTCTCTCTCTCTCTCTCTCTCTCTCTCTCTCTCTCTCTCTCTCTCTCTCTCTCTCTCTCTCTCTCTCTCACACACACACACGCACACACGCGCAAGCGCGCGCACACACACACTCACACACGCACACAATACTTATTCTCAAAAACAACATAAATTAATACACAAGAATCACAGAAAGGGTCGAGTCAGTCTCGAAGGCGCCGCTCGCGGCCTCGCGGTGTGCCGGCGTCGGCGTCGTCGGCGTCCTAGTCGCGGTACTCCATGCTGGCGCTGCAGGACTCCTCGCTGCCGGAGTCGCCCCCGGAGTTGAGGGCGTCCTTGGCGGGGCTGAGCGCCGAGTCGCCGAGCGAGCAGGGCGTGCAGAGGGGGCGGCCGCCGGGCGCCACGGACGCGGCGGGCACCACCTTGCCGCACTGGCTGCACTCCTCGTGGGGTTCACCTGCAACAGAGAGCACGACGGTCAGCACCTGCTGCGAGACAGCGACGCGCGGTGCGCGTTTCCCGAAGCGTTATGGCTGGCGACGACCACGACGGCGTGCTCGGGAGTACGGCCGCGGCGCACGCCACCGAGGTGGACGTCCTCGCGGTGGTCTATGCCCTGTCGGTGGCAACGCCCCGCCGCCCCGCCGCCCCGGGCAGGTGGCCGCCAGCTCGGCCAGCCCGGCAGCCCGGCCGGCCTTAACGGCCACGCATACATTATCCGCTGGGCCGCCGGGCCTCGGACTCTGTGTCGCCGCACTCTGGCGGCGGCCCGCGCACTGCGAGCACCGCGAGCACGGCGACGGCCTTGACACGGCGCCGCGGAGAAGACCGGGAAGTGCCACTTCTCACTCGATAGCGCACACCGTCATTTCGCGATGGCGCCGAAGGCTGCGCCGCGCTCGCAGTGTGCTCGCAGTGCGTTGGCAGTTCGCAGCGCACGCGCCGACGACGCGTTAGTGTTCCGTTTTCCCGCGAGGCAACAATGGCGCTTCGCCACCCCCACCCACCCGTGGGATAATCTCCTCCCCCTCGACACGCGGCGCTTCGCGCGTCCAAGACATCGACAAGGCCACGATGCTCACCTTCGTGGGTCTTCATGTGCGCGCGCAGGTTGCAGGCGAGGGCGAACTTCTTGTGGCAGATCTCGCAGGCGTGCGGCTTGTCACCTGTGGCAGAAAGAAGCGGACAGTTAGAAACGTCGTTCCGAGCGGCACGATATGCGCAGCAGTATGGCCACCGGGAACTTAATGGCGGGGGTCTCTGCCTTAACTAACAATCGCGGAGCACCAAGCTGGCAACGCGGCCAAGGCGCACCGTGCGTGTGTGTGGGCATGCTGGGCGCGCGCGCGCGCGTGTGTGTGTGTCTGTGTGTGTCTGTGTGTGCGTTACGTCTGCTGACCGCCCAGGGGCCGCTGGCCGGAGCTGGCCAGCCGGCGGATATGGCAATGGGACTTTAGACTTCACACAATGGACAACGGCGTGAGAAAACCGGCCGCCATGCTGTGCCGTCCGGGCCGGCGTCCGGGCCGGCGTCCTGGCCGCCAAGGCCTGTACGTCTGTCTGCGGCTCTGCGCACCCAAGGCGCACCCAAGGTGCAGCCCAGCCGTGGCCACTTAGAAGAACCATATCATCTTCATCATCTTCGTCATCGTCATGACGAGGTTGTCACACGCCTCGCCGACGCCCAGCCCTCGAGTCCACGAGTATCAAATCCTGCCCTGCGTGCTGGGCTCACTCGGTCCCCGCCCCGCCCCTCCCCGCCAGCGATCCCGTCTGACCAGGACATCGCCGGCCTCCGCGCCCAGGCCCAAATGAAGCTGTCGTGCACACGGGGCCCCGCCGGCCCCGCCCCGCCGCAAAGGCCGCCAGGGCCCCGCACTCCGCACGGCGGCCAAGTGCAATATTTTGCCCCGCAGTGGCCGCCCTTTGGCCGTGCTGCCGTCCGCTCTGGGCCCTTTGGGCCTTTAGCTCTTGACAGACTGTTTTCGGCGCGACTTTTAGTATTATAATATACGGAAAAACGGCAGGTGCTCCGGGGCGAGGGGCGGGGTGGCCGTGCTGGCCGTCCACGAGACCATAATGATCCCAACCTGGCGGGGCGGGGCGGGCAGGGCACACCAGCAGCGCGCTGCCATAAACTTCCTCATCTCATTTCTCTGGTTCTCTCCTGGCCTCGCAGCTCTTTTTCCTCGGCCCGGTGTCTTCTCGCACCGAAACCCGAAAACAATCGTAAACGAAGCGGGGCGGGGCGGGGCGGGGCGGGGCGGGGCGGGGCGGGGCGGGACGGGGCGGGACGGGGCGGGGCGCACGGCAGCCGGACTGCCCCGCCGAACCGAAGACGTTTGGCTGGGCCGGTCAATCGGTGCGCTGCAGCAGCGCAGCAATGCCATGGCAATGCAGCACGCCGGGCCCCCATGGGGCCCCCAGGCCTCCGGGCGCCCTCTGCCGCCCGTTCCCAGAAGCACACGCAGTGTACACGCAGCTTGCATGTCCAGCAGAAAGAACTCACTTTTGGCTTTCGTGTTCACAATAACACACGTTTCAGTCGGAACCAACAACAGTCTGCCCCTTTTTATTCCCTCTGCCTTTTTTTTAAGTGGAGCGTTTCCCCGTCTTGTTGTTGGCGTGCGTGGCGTGCTGCAGGGACAGGGTGGTGCGTACCGGTTGATTAGCCTCGGGGAGGGGGAGGGGAAGGGGAGGGGACGTCGGTGGATGATAAACTCGCTCGGGGTGGCGAAGAAGGGTGCGCAGCTGGCGCTCCGAGGCACCTGCTACAACCTGCTCGCCGCCCCCGCCCCGCCCCACCCCGCGATGCACCTGTAGCACGCGCCCGCTCCGCCCCGCCCCGCCCCGCCCCGCCCCCGCGATCGTTATCCACTGTCTCCACCCCGCCGATCAGGCGTTGGGCGGCTCGCGTGGTGCTCTCGCCCGTTTCCTTGTCGCTGGAACGCCGCAACGGTCGTTTAGTTGTTGTTGTTGGTAACGGCGGCGAGGCGGCGAGGGTGGAGGAGCCGCGTGGCGTTTCCGAAAGACGTTGGGCTGGTAATGCGGTCTCAACGGCCAAGTGCGCGGCCTGTGGCGCGCGGCGCGCGCTGGGTGTCGCGGAGCACGCCGTGGAGCGCGCCGCCGAGCACTCGTCGACGCCGAGGCCCGATCCTCTCACGGGATAAGCCATTGTCCGAACGGTAAGTCACACACGGTCCGCGTCGCCGTCGCCCCCCACGGTCCATTGACGGCCAAGTGGTGCGGAACCCGCGACCCACAATGCACCGTGCTGCACCGCGCTGCACTCCGCTACACCGCTATGACGGCTCGCTTACCTGTGTGCAGGAACAGGTGGTTCTTGAGGTTGGTCAGCTTGGAGAAGCCGCGCGCGCAGATGTGGCACTTGAAGGGCCAGGAGCCCGAGTGCACGAACTGGTGGGACTTGAGGTCGCCGGGCGTGGGGAACGACTTGGAGCACAGGCTGCACTTGTGGGGCTTCTCCTGCAACAGAAATCAAAAGGGGCCGGTCAGCACATGCAGCAAGACACGCGTGTGGCGGCGTGACGCACGACGGCGGCGTCAATGGGCCCGGCGGTCCGGAGGGGCGACGACGCGGGCCTCGGCCGCCACGCCTTCCGGGAACTCATCAGCGAGTCGGCCTCACAGACCGTTCAACCAATAATGTTCAATAATTGGACGAATTGGCGTTCGAACTTCTCGGAACCGAAATGAGCCACTGTCCGGCGGACCACCGCCACGCACCCCGCCCCGCCCCGCCCCGCCCCGATAATATGAATAATGCAGGCTTGGCTCCGCGTTATCATTAGTGGCCGAGGAGGGCAAATAGTGCTGTAAAAGGATGTAAAAGGAGGGGCCTTATCCGCTCGTCTGCCCTTTGTTATTACGCAGCAGTTTCTCGGCCTGTTTGTTTTTCGCTGCAGTTTTCGGAGTGAGGAGGCGCGCCGCCGCTCGGCGTGCGTGTGTGAGTGCGCAGTACTTTCTCACTGCAAATTACGTGAGGGCGGGGCGGCGGGGCCGGGTGAGACAACGCGCCGTTTTATTCTCAATTTCTGGGAACGTCCGCAGAGGGAGAGGGCACCTGTCTCTGTCGCTCCGTCTGGCCGCCGGAGAGGTGTCGCCGCGTAGACAAATTAGACTCGTTTGGCCGGCCGGCCGGACTGCGGGATTGGCTCTGATAAGCGGAGGACCTCTCCGGATGACTCGGCCGGCAGGACTCATTCTAAGCCGCGCTCTCGCCGCTCTGTCTCTCTCTCTCTCTCTCTCTCTCCCCCTCTCTCTCTCTCTCTCTCTCTCTCTCTTCTCTCTCTCTCGGGGCGTCGCGTAGGGGTGCGAGAGAGACAGACCGACGAAGCGCCGTTCGAAATCAGCCCGCTGGACGGCGCTCCTCTGTGAATGAGAGCCTCGGATGTGTTATATTACTCTCGCGCCGAAGCCGGGGCCTTCCGCCGGGGCGGCCGGGCGGGCCGGGGTCTGGGTCTGGGGTCGAGCGAGTTCTCATTTACTTTCAATCTGATGCTGCTCTTTGAATGGGCCGGCAGGCAGGAGGCCGCGGCCCGGCCGAGCGTCGAGGAGGTAGCCGCAGGGGCACAGCCAGCAGCGCAGGGCGGCGCGGGGCGGTTCGGAAGGCCCCAAAACCCAGAGACGAGGCGGGGCAAAAAGCCCGGCAGGCCGCCACCAAGTGGGAGTAGTCCGCGCGGTCTAATCGTATTCAACGTGACGGTGTCGCGGGCTGGCCCACTAATGCCCGCAAAAACGGCGGCAAGACGAAATGACAAAAAGACAGAGAGACGCCGCGGTGTCGCGGTGGAGGCGCGCGCCGTGGCGGCCGGCGTGGCGGCGGATGCACCGATTGTTTCGCCGTAATGAAGGGCCTGGGCCTGGTCGGCCTGCTTGGCGGTCATCATCGCGACGCCGCCGCGGAGGGAGCGCTATGGCAGCCTGCGTGCTGTCATCGGCAGCCAATCACAACGAAGAAAGGAGTGCGGATGAGCCGGCGAAGTCGACGGCCGACTGGCGCAGCAGGTGTCATGCCTCTCTCTCGCACACTCGACCGGCGGGGCAGGTGCTCTCTCCGTCTCTCTCACTCGCGCGCCGGGCGCGCGACTGGGGCCCACGACGACGGCGGCCTCGCGCGCCTCGCACTCCGGGCGTCGGAGATGAGGACGAAAAGCGAGGAAATGAGCAGATGAAAATGGGAAGGTGGGCCGACGGGCCGAACGAGATGGAATACATTAAACAAAATGATGACCGGGAGGGATAGTGTTCCTAATGGCTCCGGATTGAGTGGTAGACGGCCTAGACGGCGGAGGTGGAGCAGACCGAGCGGACCGCGTCCGGGCTAGCAGCCTGCGGTCTGCCGTCGGTCTGCCGGCATGCATCCCCGGCCTCCCCAGCCAATTCACACAAACACCTGTTCGAATCCCACCGCCGCGGCCGCCAAGTGGGTCAGCAGGAAGGACGCGCCCCATCCATACCGCACCCCTTCCACAATCGGAATCGACCAAATAAATGACTCCATTAAAAAAAAGGAGGAAAAGTTATGCGCCACGGACACACACACACACACACACACACACACACACACACACACACACACACACACACACACACACACACAGACTAACAACACACACGCACGCACGCGTGAGACATGATCGACGACTGGTGAGAGAGGTGCGGAGAAGGAGAAGGGACATAAGGCGGTTTGTTCTCACAAGCAAAGCGGTCGGTCCGGGCAGTCCGGCAGTCCGGCCGCCACCAAGCGTGCGGTATGCAGCCCAGCGCCGAGCGCCAAGCGGCGGCCACCGCGGGCCGCGGGGTCAGAGGGCGGCCGCCCGACTCGACCCGCACGTCTGCCGGACCATGTTCCCATTTTTTTTAAAAGTTTTTTTCCCCCCTTTTGAGCGAGCGGGATTGCACGTTCAGATACTGCACGCACTACGACCACTACCAGCACTTGGAGAAAGTCAGAAAACACGTAGCGCGAAAAAAAAACCAAACCGAACACACACAGCACGGATCTGCGGAGCTCGGCGGAGCCGGTACTCGAACCCGGGGCGCCTTTGCGCGATACGAAGGCCTTACGGGCGCGACCTCCCCCCACCCTTCCCCTCTCCTGCTGGACAAAAACTGGACCTCCCCTCCCCCCACCCCCCCGTGGCGCTGAGCTTTCAATCTGGGCGTCACGTTGCGCCCGGAGCGGCCGAGGGGGCCGAGCGGGCCCGGCTCGGTGTGGGCCCGTGGGGCCTTGTGTGGGCTCCGTGGGGTGCTCTCTCGCTCCCGTTTTTTTTATTATATTTCATAAATTATTATCTCCTTGTATTTTTTTTTTGTTTCGTTATACGAATCGAGATGATCGAGGCCCACTCTCTTCCACACACACACATACAGACACACACGCGCGCGCGCACACACACACACACACACACACACGCACGCACATGCCCCCGTGCCTCGTGGTACCGGTACTGCGTTATAACTACTGGCCGAGGCCAATCCCTGTTTTATCGGTGATCTACCTTGCCCGCTCCGCCGCTCTGCCGCACTGCGTCCGTGGCCACTGCGGCCGGCCGGCCACTGCAGCCCCGCCGGCCGGCCGGGCCCCCGCCGCTACCGCTCCCTGCAGTCTCACTCCGAGCAGCGCCTCCGTCTCTCTCGCAGCCCCGCGGCGCGCCCCCCCGAGTGCGAGAGAGACGCAGCGACGAAGGCGCTGTTGAGCCTGCTCCCTGCTCCCGTTGTTGCTGCCGATACTGTACCGATGTTTCCCCCCGATAATTATCGTCCGTCCTGCGTGGCCGCTGCGCTGCGCCCGGCGGACCGACTCTCTCTGTCTCTCTCGCACTCCTGGGGCGTTGCGTACAGGTCGAGAGAGACAGAGCGGCGAGAGCGACCCGGCCATTCAAAGGGGCCGCCTGCAGGGGCAGTGCAGGGCCTACAGTGTGGGGCCGGCGGGGCGGCGCGGTGACACTGCGTGTGATCCATTAGGCCCGGACTGACGAAGGCCCCGCACAGTGGGCCAGAAAGCCGATGGAGGCGGACAGAACTCTAGACGCGTCTTGAGGCCAGAGTCGCTAAATGGGACTCGAACCGGACGTGTGACCCCACCAATGGATTGCTCTCCGAACGAGGAACCCATTGGTGAGGTCACTCGTTCGGTTCGAGTCCCATTTAGCGACTTTGGAGTTCAAAGCGCGTCTAGAGTTTTGTCCGCCTCCACTGGTCTTCTGGCCCACTGTGCCCCGCCACCACGCCGATAGCGAGAGTGGCTAGGATTGACCCAGATCGCCCTCGGGGTTCGGCGGGGGCGGCGTGGACGCGGAGCTTCCCAGGGGTGCGTCTCCCTCCTCGGTGCGGTGCACTGCGCTCTGCGTGCTGCGCGCCGTGAGTGCATTCCCATGACAAAACCTTCCCCAATTCCGGCGCGCTGCGCTCCGGTAACTCTCGCGGCCTAACACGATAGGGATCGCGATGTTGTTGTTGTTCCGGCGCCCCTACGCGCCGACCATGACGTCTTGAGGGTCCCGAGGAGGCCTTCAAGACGGTGCGTGGTGCCTGGACGGGCCTGGACGAGCTCGGACTGCCAGGTGTGCAGTCTGTGCGCGGCTATGTGCACTGGGCCGCGACCTGGCCGCCCGTCTGCCTGCCCGTGGGAACGCGCTACCGTACCGGCTGGGTGGGGGCCGGGTGGGGGCCCCGCGAGCCACACACGCGGCCCGCCCCGCCCCGCCCCCGCACGCAAAGTTATGGCACTGCGGGCCCCGCCCACCGCACCCCCGTCCTGCTGGCCCTGCTGGCTCTGCTCGACATGAAGAAGGGGTTCCCAGGCTCCGGCGGGCTCCGGCGGGCGTGAGGTCGATTTGCTCGTCCCCCCGATTCGTCGGGGTGTCCTCCGGGATGACTCCCCCGGAAAACAAACACGCACCGCCCCCGCATCCTCCGGCATCCCGGCATCCTGCGCCCTAATCCGAGACGAAACGGATCCATAACCGAGCGCCACCGGAGATGCCGCCGGAAACGAAAAAGCTGAACCTGGCGAAGGGACAGCGGCCGGAACTGCGTCGAATAATGACTTAATGCCTTCCCGGACCTGCGTGCTGCGTCGCGGCGCCCGTCGTACCTCCTAGAGTGTGCGGCCGCCCGAGCGCGGCGGCGGACTTTCAGAACGCGGGTCGCGAATCGGCGAGGATGTCAACGAGGGCGCGGTGCAGGGCGAAGGGCAGGGCGGGAAAGGCGCGGCAGCACGACGACATGTGGCACGCGGCGGAGCGCCCTCGCCGCCTCGCCCTTCCAGCGCCTCCAGTCAGATCGACTTGGTAATTGGCCGCGCCGGTTCCCGGCCGTCGAGTGCACTCCCTGCCCTCGTTCCATATCGCCCAGGGCCCACCCCGAGTCCGTCGCTCCGTCTCTCCCGCACCCCGGCGCAAAGCCCCGGCGGCAGTGCGAGAGAGATAGAGACGGCCACCCTCGTGCACCTGATGTCCCGGCCGATAGCCGTGCCGTACGCGGCCGGGGCACGCGCCGCGCCGGGCAGATGCTCCACGTGCACCGCGCACCTGGACGACGACGGCGGCCTCGACCGCCACCGCCACCGCCGCGAGGCCTCGAGACGACGCCATTAAATTATCTCCGGAAAACGAGACTTAAATAAGCTGCCCGGGTTGACAAACGCGGCGGCCACCGCGGCGGCACTACACTGGCAGGTGCGGCCGCGGCCCGCCATTGGACCATGGCCCGCCACTCGGACCGGCCGGAGCGACTCGGCGGCTGACGGCCGTGACAGAGCGCGCTCATGACACCCCTGCCGTCCTGTCCTGCCCGTCCTGTCGGTCCGGTTGACGCCGGGAAGCAGCCAGTGGAGGCTGCCAGGCTCTTCCAGGTCCAGGGCTTACCTTGACGTGCGTCATGCGGTGGTAGTACAGGTTGGAGGACGCCGTGAACCTCTTGCCGCACACGGGGCACTGGTGCGGCTTCTCGCCCGAGTGGATGCGGCGGTGGGTGTTGAGCGACGAGGACGTGGAGAACCCCTTGGAGCACACCGAGCAGACGTGCGGCTTCTCGCCTGGGGGATTAACGTTCAGATTAGCATCCAGATTCGCGCGGAGGGTGAGGTTGACGCGGAGGTGCAGGGTATTCGTACCAGTGTGGGTTCGCATGTGCCTCTTGAGGAGGGACGGCCGGTCGAAGCTCTTGCCGCACACCTCGCACGGCAGCAGCGTCCGCTCGCCGCGGCCCACCCGGGTGCCGCTGCCCCGCCGGCCGATGCTGAGGCCGAGGCTGGTCGGCGACGACGCCGCGTCGGGCCGCGGCGGCCGCGACGCCGTGATGCGGGGCGGCCGCGCCGAGGCCGGCAGCATGAGCGTGGCGGCGTCCGCGGCCAGGCTGTCCGGCAGCAGCAGCAGGTCCTCGGAGGACGAGGACGACGCCGAGGACGCCGCCGAGGACGTGGACAGGCACGACGACAGCGACTCGCCCGACACGGACTTGTGCTCGTCGGGGTGCTCGCCGCCGGACGCGCTGCTGGAGGGTGAGCCGGCGGGCTGCACCGCGCCGTGGGATCGAGACAGCAGGGCCATGGACAGGTCCAGCGGGGACTCTGCGGAGCAGGACGAGGAGGCCGTCAGCAAGGCGTCAGCGTGGCGTCGGCGTCAGCCTGGAGACTTGCACGCGGGGCGCCACGAGTGCGCGGCGCGGCGGCACAGCCACTCACCTTCCAGGATGGCGTCCATGGTGCGGCGGTACAGGGTGTTGCGGAGGAAGTGCACGGCCGGCAGCAGCAGCAGGTCCTCGGAGGTCTCCGGCAGCAGGAACGCCACCAGCTCGGTGTGCGCGGGGACGGGCCGCACCACCTCGTAGACGGGCTCACCTGCAAAGACGCGCGTCAAGTTAGCCACAAGGTCAAACTCATCGTCAAAAGATTTTAATTTGAATTTGCACTCACCCTTGACTTTGGTGCCGATGAGGTTGACCTCGGGCGTGTACGAGGTCACGGTCCTCAGGAAGCGCACCCAGTTGCAGTGGCGCACCTTCCTGCGGTTCGACTCGGTGATCTCGTCGTAGCAGCCGAACCTGTGCCGCACCTGCAACACAAACACAGGGTCAGCGCGGGCCGCAAAAAAATAGAGGGAGAGACCGACATCACTGCGAAATAATTTAATAGAATCGACCGGAACAACCAACGAACCGCGAATGGGGTGGAAATCAGTTTACGACTTGATAATCCCAGTCTGGCCGGCGACCCCGGCGGTGCGCGAGCAGCCTCGACCCCGCCCCGCCCCGCCCTGCCCTGCCCCGCCCCGCCCCGCCCCGCTGGACTAGACCCCTGCCGCCCCGCCCCGCCGACGGCTCGGACTCCACATCAATTTCTTTCGTGCACCTGCTCCTACGCCGCTCGCTCGTTATCCGCAGCGTCGCCACTCCCCCTTTTGATTCGCGCAGCACTCACACACACACACACACACACACACAGAGCGCTTACATAGCGGCGGGGAGGTAGGGCCCGGGACGGTAAGGGCCGTCGAGGGTCCTTTGCCTCATCCGGCACCTGTTCCAGGCCCGATAAATCAGCAGCCCTCCCCTCCCCCTCCCCCGGCGTGATAACCGCGCAACATGGTCCGTTCATTCATTGAATCGAGTGCGAGGGAGACGGGGCCGGGCCGGCGGCGGGTGGGACGGAGCGCGCCGCAGACGCAGGCAGGCGCAGGGCGGCGGGGCGCAGGCTGCCTACTCTCGGCAGGGGGTCGCCCCTTGGGCCCTTCTTTCACTCGGCCGGCACTGCTGCTCGAAGGGGGGCATCAAGGGGTGGAGCAGACGGGCAGCAGTGCGCGGCGGCGCGGCGGCGCGCGGTGGAACAGATTGCGTCAGGTGGGCGCGTCCGTTCGGGTGCGTCCCGGTGCCGAGCGAGGCGGCCGTCAGTCAAAACGCCGCCCTGGTCGGGCTGGCCGCGCTAATGGTAACACGCGGCAGACGCGCCGAGGCAGATGGCGGCCAACGGACTCCCTTGGCCTTGGACTCTCCGCACCACTCGCCGAGCACCCCGAACGTACTCTCCGCCGTCGCCGTCGCCGTCCCGGCTCTGATGTAAAGTCGATGGCCAAAGCGTTCGCGTCCGCGCTGCCGGTGCCTGCCGGGGCCTGGCGCGGCCTGGCCGCACGCTGCTGGAACGAGAGTGCTGCCGCTGCATCGACCCGTCGGCCCCGTAGGCGTGCATAGCTCGTGTGCATACCGCCGCTGGGCGTGGCGGGACGGGGCGGGGCGTGGCGGGGAGGCGCGCGGCAGCGCCCAAGTTCAGGTTCTGCTCCAGTAGATCGGCACGCCGCATATCCTGCTGCAGTTCGCGCAGCTTATCGCCACACAAGTCTTTAGTGCAGCGCCGTGGCAGGCAGCCTGCCGCAGTGCCCCGGTGCGCGGACTTGTAACTCGCCGTACACTCCGAAGACGACTCCGGAACGACCAGACTCCGGGGCGTTGCTCATTTTGGCGCGGGTTCGAGTCCGGCTGGCCGCCAGGCCGCCAGCTCGCATGGACGCGGTGGACAGGATTTCCAGGAATGCGAGCGACGTATCCCAGAAGTGCTGGTCTCAATGACTAGACGGCGCGCGTCGTTCGCTCTGCCTGTCTGTCCGTCCGTCTGTCTGTCTGTCTGTCTGTCTGTCTGTCTGTCTGTCTGTCTGTCTGTCTGTCTGTCTGTCTGTCTGTCTGTCTGTCTGTCTGTCCGTCTGTCTGTCTGTCTGTCTGTCTGTCTGTCTGTCCGTGTGCACAGCAGCCGCGCTGTTTGCAAACAGAGCCCGGGGGGTAGAGGCAGAGAGAGCCGAGCTGGCATGGGTTTGGAGAGGCGCATTTGCCAGACGGGAAGAAGAGGGAAAGGGGGAGGGAGAGAGAAAGAGAGAGAGAGAGAGAGAGCGAGCAACGCGATGCAAATGCCCGTAGCAGGGCAGCAGCAGTGTTACTCCGGCCCATTCAGTCGCACCACAAATCATCTGTAAATTATCACGTCCCATTGCGGCCAGCGGGGCGATATTGAGAGGGGGGAGGGGGAGGGCAGGGGCGTCCGACGCACCGCGGCAATCATTGGTATCACACACCAATCAGCGGCCGTCTCTCTCTCTCTCTCTCTCTCTCTCTCTCTCTCTCTCTCTCTCTCTCTCTCTCTCTCTCTCTCTCTCTCGTTCGCTCGCTCGCAGTGGAGCACGTCAAATCGCCGGCACGTCGCAATGAAGTCAAGTGCGCGCCACTGCGAAAAGAGAGTTCCTTTCCTTCCGCGCGCTGCACGGCACGCCGCACAGTGGGCCAGAAGACCGGTGGAGGCGGCCGAAACTCTAGACGCGTTTTGAGCTCCAGAGTCGCTAAACAGGACTCGAACCGAACGAGTGATGGAGAGCAAGCCATTGGTCGGGTCACACGTTCGGTTCGAGTCCCATTTAGCGACTCTGGCGCTCAAACCGCGTCTAGAGTTGTCCGCCTCCACCGGTCTTCTGGCCCACTGTGCGGCGTGGTGCACTGCACTGGCAGTACTAGGCGGTACCGGTGATCGGCCGATCGGCCGCAGGGGGCAGCAGCACCTGTCCCACATCCTGCTCCATATTGCACGCCGCACTGCACCGCACTGCACTGCACACGCCACGCAGGCACGCAGTGCTCCATCTCCCTCGCTGCCTAGGGGAGCGAGAGAGACAGAGGCTGCAGCGCCTCAAAGCGATATCTAATGAGCGTGCAGTGCCGCAGCAGAGCGGCTCCGGTGTCAGACCCGTTACCGCCACGCCGGCCACGCGGCCACGCGGCCACGCCACACGACAAACACCAAGTGCTCCGCGTGGTGCGGCGCTGCAGCGCGGGGTCGCGTCGACGGCCGAGTCCAGGACGCGCTGGCGGTATACTGGTGGTGCATGGGAACGCGGCGGAGAAAGCACAGTGGCTGTGCGTGCGAGGGAGAGAGAGGATGCGGGGCTCCGGTCGTCATGACAACCACCCCTGGGCCTGGGCCTCGCCGAGTGAGACGTCGGCTCACGGTAATGGAGGGCCCAAGGCGCGTGCACCGCGCTGCGCCGCGCTGCGTGCCCGTCGGGCCGTGCTCGCGTGCCGTACCGGGGATCGGGGCCCTGAAATCAATGAACCGTATGCAAATGTGCACCCAGATGTGCACGGCGTTCTGAATGAGTCGAGGGGGGCGAGAGAGAAAAAAGAGGGAAAAAATCGGACAGGGCTACTTGAACCCTAAATGGCCCTTTCCCCCTCTGCGCCCGCATCGTGACTGCAGGCCTGCAAGCTCGCACGCACCGCCGTGTTTGACACGACACGCCTGGCTGCACCGGTAAGGCACGCGTCACGCGCCGCGGCCGGTGTAAACACGCCGCACCCCCGCAGTACGGCACGGCACGGCACGGCACGCGTCGGAGCGTCAACAGGTCGCTTTCACGCGCCGCCGAGCGCGGCAGCGCGGCACGAGGGGAGGCGCACGGCACGGCACGGCACGGCACGGCCAACGCGTGCGAGGCGCGAAGGCGAGGCGAAGCAAGGCACACCTGTTGCAGTGTCGCGGGTTCGAATCGCGGCGCTGGGCACGGACTGCGCGCGGCGTGTCCCCGCCGGCCGGCCGCCCCTCCACCGCCCCAGACCTAGACCTCGGCGCGCCCCTCTAGAGCCTCGGGAGCCTCAGCGCCGCAAGTACACGGCCGCGGCCGTCATGCCGTGCTGGCCGAGGCTGAGGCTCGTTACCGGGGTAATGACAATATCAGCCTCGTTAATGCAAATGGCGGGGCAGCCGCCTCGGCAACGAGGAGCGGCTGCACCTGCCGCGCCTTGGCCGGGCCTGCCGCACGCACCGGGAGGGTGGCCGACGACGACGCCCCTCGCCGTCGACGTCACCGGCATGCCGCGGCACCGGTACGGCGCCGTGCATATTCAGCAGCGGACCGCTGCCATATCGCCCGCGACGCCGCGACGCGCTATGGATTATGGGCGGGATCGAAGATCGGAGTGACGGGCCGGCCTGCAGCACGGCGCCGTTGGCAAGATGCCGCGTGCACGCTCGGCTCGGCGCACCTGACACGCCGCCGGCCCCCGCACGTCCAGCCCACCGGCTTGATGCGAATCATTCTCGACAAAAAAGAGATAAAATAAAAAGAATTCTAGCCGGAGCGCGGCTTGGCGGCGCCTCGCTCAAGCCGGACCAGTGACAGACGTAATCGGCACGTCCATCAGCAGAAATGCGGAGGGGATTGCTCGAAAAGCATTATTCACGTGGGACACGATCGCTTCCACCAACACACTCGGCCAAACAACAACAACATCCTTGGCGTGCCGATCCAGAGCGGCGCGTGCTACTCACGTCGGCGTCGTGCAGCTGGGAGTAGACGGCCAGGGTGTCCAGGCGGACGGTGCCCTGGAAGGGGTAGACGACGGTGCCCTGGGGGATCCGGGCGTTGGTCCACACGGACACAGGCTCGCGGTGGCCCTTGAGCACGTCGTTGTTGTTGTGGTTCTTGAGGTACACGCCGTCCAGGGCGTCCAGCCGGTCGTCCCGGGGGGAGCCCGGCGGCGAGGACAGCACCAGGGAGAACTCCTGGGGGATGAGCACGCACGTCTCCATGGCGACGGCGGGGTGCAGGACGCGCGGAGGAAGCCAAGAAGTAGAAGAGCGAGGCGCAGGCGCTAGGCACTGGCCATAACTGTCACACTGTTGCACTGTCACACACTTGGTCACACACTCGCGGCACTGTCGCACTGTCCTTGGTCGTGACCTTGCACCGCGATGCACTGGGTGCACTGGGCTGCACTGCGCTGCGCCTAGGCCGTCCGCTCCGTTCCGTAGCCTTCTGAAGCTCCTTGACAACTGCCGGGGCCGGCCGGGTTCTTCCTCCTCGCTCCTCGAGCTCCTCGAGCCAGCACAGCCAGCACGCCACGGCCCCCTCCCCTGCGCCGCTCCGCCGCTCCACCGCTCGCCTCCCGACGTGTGATCTTCAAGAAGCTACAAGTTGTTTTGTTCTTCTGTCCGCTCCCATTCTCCCCACCACCGTAATAAGCGGGGCCGTCATTATCGCCGTCCCGCTCGCTCCGCCGTGCGCCTGCATCACGGCGTCCTTGTCGCTCCGCGCCGCTCGCACCGGCCGGGGCTACCTGCTGCCGCCGCCGTGGCCCCGGCTCGGCTCCGCGCGCTCCGGCTGCGCTCGGCTGCGGTGTGCTCGGCTCCGGACGGCGGTCGCGGCAGAAGGAAGGAGGGAAGCGGAGACGAGGATGAGAGGCGCCGAGGAAGACGAGGAGGAAGCGGTGGGCGGGGCCTGCGCGCTCCTCGGCCAATGGCGGCCCGGCGAGGAGCGGCGTGGCGGCGCTGCACCTGTGCTGCAGGCTCGCCCTCCAGGCCGCCCTGGAGCCATTCATGCAGTCACTCATTCAGGGCGTTCTGCAGCGCCGTGATCGACGCGCCCCGCCCCGCCCCGCAGCCATCAGTCGTTCGTTTGCCTCTTGAACTTGACAGAGAACCGACCCGGTCCGCGGCCCGCGAGTCTGCGCCGCCGACGGGCGTGACAGGCGGGGCTGCAGCGGGGGAGATTGTATCGACGCCTCTGGTCTGCTCCGGTCGCCTCCGGTCTGCTCCCGTCACACAGTGGAGCGCGGGGTGAACCTTGAACCGCGAGTCGTCTAGCCCGGCGTGCCTCGGAGCGCCTTGCCTACGCGCGCGGCCCGTCCCGTAACGCACAGCGCCGCGGCGGGGTGCCTACCCTCCGGGCGCTCCAGGGCCGCCGGGCCGCGCGGAGACCTTAACGCAAGCCGAGCGTCGCCGGGCAGCCCGTGCATCTCGGAAACAAAGTGACCTGCCTCGACGCCCCCCCCCCCCCCCCCCCCCCGCGGCACGACGAAGGGCGCGCAGAGACAAAGCCCCGCCCCGCAGGCCCCGCAGGCCCCGCACCAAACAATATGCGATTCTCAACTTTTTACTCTCCTTTTTCAGCGAGGAAGTCGCAAATCTCGGGAGCGCCCATGGAAAGGCTGTCCGCCACTGCGCATTGTTCGCCGTGACGGATCCTTTGCCTCCAGACCGCCGCTCCAGTCGGCGGCCGGCCCTACCGGCCCTCTCGGCTCTCTCGGTCCAGCGAGGCAGGTTTCGCCTCGCGCTGGAGCGGCAGCGGCGACGACGCTAGAGTCCAGTCGGATTAGCCTTGAATAAGAAAAGCTGGTGGCGTATGCTGTGCGTTTAAACAGCGCTGGGGACTCGAGGACTCCAGGCCGCCAGCCTGGAGCAGCTCTGGCGGGCAGGCAGGCAGGCGGGCAGGCGGGCAGGCAGGCAGGCAGGCAGCCAGGCAGGCAGCATGGAAAGTGCCTTATCGGAAAGGCTCCCCGGGGCTCAGCGGCCAATCGGCTTTCACGCCCCGTGCCCCCGGGCCGGCCCGCCGCGCTAACCGCTGTTGACGTGTTGGCAAATAAAGTAGGGAAGCCGTCGTGATCCGGGTCGCAGCCGAGACCCCCCTCGCCTAGGTGAACGGCGCACAGTGGGCCAAAGACCGGTGGAGGCGGCCAAAACTCTAGGCGCGTTTGGAGCTCCAGAGTCGCTAAATGGAACTCGAACCGAACGTGTGACCCCACCAATGGATTCCTCGTTCGGAGAGCAATCCATTGGACGGGTCACACGTTCGGTTCGAGTCCCATTGGGCGACTCTGGAGCTCAAAACGCGTCTAGAGTTTTGGCCGCCGCCACCGGTCTTCTGGCCCACTGTGCGGCGGGGGCGTTGGCGCGGGCCTCAGCGCCGTGATGAAGAAGGCCCAGCCTAATATCCCCGTAACGACGGCGGCGATGAGACGACGGGGGACGACGTAGGCGGCCTCGGCCGGATCACACTCATTGGCCACGGCCTCTTCGCAGGCAACGGGTGTCCCGGCCACTCGACAAGTCACCGCAGCTTCGCAGTGGTGACATCGTTAACAGCAAATCCATGCCATCCGTGCACTCAGGCGGCCCGGCCTGCCGAGCGTCCCGGGGCGTACCGCACGCCCCCCTCCCCCTTCCCCGAGGGCCCATCTAATCCCCGCATCGCATGATGGCCAAGCAGTGCCTGCTCGTCGCGGAGTAATGTTGCATGTACAGGGTGGCTCTGAACGACGCGCCGCGGCGCCCCCAGCACGTCATCAAGGCGGTGACGCGCTTGTTGGGCCGCGGTGCCTGCAGACACCGATGCCCCCCCCCCCTCTCTCTCTCTCTCTCTCTCTCTCTCTCTCTCTCCAGAGGCATCCCAGCGACGAAAGCAGATTGACGTCTCCGGCGGCGCGGTAATTCCCCATTATGATTGCCGTGACGCGTTCCGGGGTTCCGGTATCGCCCCGCCAGCGTCGCGCGCGGCGCATCAACAACAGCAACAAAAACAAAACAAACAACGTCAACAAGCCGCGGTGGGGTCCGCGGCGGCGAGCGCGCTCCACTTTATAAATGCATTCGAAAAACGCATCCGACCGGCGCCGCCTGAGAAGCCACTCTAGCTGTCCGCCGGCATGAAGTATCTGCGGCGGCCGATTTATCGATTTATCGGCGATACTCCCCGTTTTGAGGCATCGCGGCGCGACGCGGCGCGACGCCAGGGGGCGCTGGCCGCGCGTGGTGCACTGCGTGCGCGTGCGTGCAGCCCGGCAAACCGGGCTAGGCAAAACACTCTGTTATAATGGCCGGTAATCTCCGCCATTAACGCTGCGACGCTGGCGCGGTACGCAGTACGGAGCCACGGCCATCTCGGCCTGCCCGCTGCAGCCGCTGCACCGCGGCGCAGGTGGCGCCTGCCTGCAGTGCCTGCAGTGTATATCCCCCCCGCGCCGACTGGCCGATTTATGGCTCGGATTTTGGCTTGAATCCAGTCGCCCTGGCCGCGCGGCCGCCAGTTTGATCAACATAAATCTCGTTGGCTCGATCACGACCATCGGGACCATCAGGACGTCCAGGGCGGACGCGACGTGCTCCCGGGGCGGCCACGGCGGCCACGGCGGCCACGGCGGCCACAGTGCCCCCGCAGGTTTATTGCACCTGCTGTCCGGCAGGCCGGCGCGCTCGCCGGGGAGGCCTTGACCCTGGTAGGCCGCGACCTGGGCAGGGCACCGCACAGTGGGCCAGAACCCGGTGCAGGCGGCCACAACAATTGACGGGTTTTGAGCTCCAGCGTCACTAAACAAGACTGCAAACGGACGTATGACCCCACCAATGGATTCCTCGTTCGGAGAGCAATCCATTGGAGGGGTCACACGTTCGGTTCGAGTCCCATTTGGCGACTCTAGAGCTCAAAACGCGTCTAGAATTTTGGCCGCCTCCACCGGTCTTCCGGCCCAGCCGAACGGCCAGGTCACGCCTTTCTACCCGCAACGGTGCAGGCTGCATTGCCAGCAGACAGGTCTGCCCTGCTCTGCTTCGCGTCGCCGGGGGCACCGCACGCGACACGCCCCGATGACGCCCTGCCGGCTGACCCGAGGCTGACCCCTGCCCCTCTCGCGGGTCACGCGTTCCCGTCGGCGCCGGCGAGGTGCGGGGTCACGGCGCTGAGTCAGTGGAGGGGCCGCGGAGTGGGGGAGTGGCGCGGCCAGCGCGGCGGCACCGGGCGGCACGCGCCGATTCCAGGAGCGGCCCGATGAGCCACCGCCAGCCACTACACTGCTATATAGCCGAGCTCGGCGGCGTGGGCGGACCGCGGCGCGCGCCGGCGCGGCCAACTAGTGCGCTGCCCATTAGTCACCGTCGGCAGACACTCTCTCTCTCTCTCTCTCTCTCTCTCTCTCTCTCTCTCTCTCTCTCTCTCTCTCTCTCTCTCTCCCTCTCTCTCTCCCTCTCTCTCTCCCTCTCTCTCTCTCCTCTCTCCCCCCCCCCTCTCTCCCCCCCTCTCTCTCTCTCTCTCTCTCTCTCTCTCTCTCTCTCTCTCGCACTCGCGAGGCGGTCCGAATTGGTGTGAGAGAGTCAGGCCGACGGGAACCTCCACAGTGCACAGAGATCTCTGTACGTACACAAAATTGGCGAGTGATTACTCCTTCCGGCCGTCATGGACTAGCAGCCCTGCTCGACGGGTCCTCCGCCACCGCGGGGTGCCATCCACAACCGCGCCGCGCTCTTCACGTCCCATCCACGCGTATTATCGATCACCTGCACACTGCTTCCGAGAGTCGTGTTCATCGCTCTGTCTCTCTCGCACTCATGGGGCGTCCCGTATAGGTGTGAGAGAGACAGGGCGACGGATACGACTCTCGGGATCAGTCTTCAGTATTCCGAGTCCGTGGGCCGCGCGATAGAGAAATAATATTAAGAAACGGCCCCGCCCTGCTGTTCGCTGCCCGAGTCAGTCGACCAAAAAAAAAAGCACAAAAACAAGGAAAACAACAAAAAGCGCGGCAGGATTCCCCCGCTGCGCTGCGCCTCTGCGGTCGCGGGGCGCGTCCACGGCGCGTCACACGCGACGTCGCCGTCCAGCTTTTACGTAACGACGTGTGTGTCGTTGTCGGCGCGAAGAATGGCCTGATTGGAGCGACGCGCAATGAGGAATGACGCAGACAGATCTATTTCTCGGCGCGTGCCGTGCCGCGGTGCGCGAACACACGTGGCCGCCGAGCGCGCCAAGGTGGCGGGGTGTGGCGGGGCGGGCGGGGCGTGGCGGGGGGGGCGGGGGGGCGTGGCGGGGCGGGCGGGGCGGGGCGGGCGCGGTGGGCGACGCAAGGCCGGCCGTCGGGGCGCTACCGGTCTATTAGACTTTATCGTTCCTGCAGGACACGGTCCCCAGCGCCTCTGGACCGCTTGGCTTGGCCGCGCGCTTGGCCACGCTTGGCCACCGCGCTTAGACACGCTTAGCCACCGCACTTAGCCACGCTTAGCCACCGTGCTTAGCCACGCTTAGCCACCGCGCTTAGCCACGCTTAGCCACTGCGCTTAGCCACGCTTAGCCACGCACAGCCACGGTTAGTCTCACCTGGCCGCGCTCA